TTCAGCTGTATTCCCTGCAAACCGCGCGGGTTTCATCACAAAGTTTCACTGTTCAGTAATTCCTTTTAAAACAATAAATAGTTTACCGACAGCATTAGCACATTTAAGATTACAAATGTACAAAGACTTCAGGCAGTGGACGCTTCAAACTTTTACAGCATTCAGTGGTCTCCGGCCTTCCCCTTGGCCCTGCGGCCTCGCCCGGCCTGCCTGCAGCTCTGAATGCAGAGGGAGCAAGGCACGGAAAAGCAAATACAGATAAGACTTTCCCACAACAGTCAGACCGTTCAAAGCAATTTTGTGTAACAACAAAGGGCTCGAGAAACGCAAATTACAAAATATCTGAAAAAAAATAAAGTAACTGTCAAATAAGGTAACTCTTGATATAATCCCGCGAGGCACGCAGAACTCTCCTAGAAGATACGGAACATGCTTAAATGCCGGCAGCTAAGCATCTTCCAGGATTGGGCCCTTTACAGGTTGAAGCAGCCTTACTGGAAAGACAGACAATTGTTTCATTTCACCTTATAAAATTATACTTTTCAAATTAGTGCAAAGCCTCATGTAAAACATAATTAGTCTAGATGTAATGGAATGCTTCGAAAATTCCAAAGTGCAAATATTAAACTGGTTAACTTCTAGTCACACTTCAGAATTCTTCCAATAATTCATGCTTATAAGGAAAGTAAATATAAGAACCAAAGTAGAGAAAACAGTATGATGTTCTTCATCGTACATAAAAACTTTGAAAATCCAAAAAGTACACTGGATGTCAAAAATCCCCAGCAGAAATTATTAAATAGCAGATTTCTGTTAGCATAATAAGACAATATTTAAAATAAGGCTTTGGTTAAATAAAAAGTTTGCTAAACTAGGAATGATGATAAAAGTGCAAAAGATTCACCAAATACACAACTTCATTTTCAAGGCAGGCATTATGCCTGCCATTTACAATGCTCTGCATTGGTTTGTCAGCCTGTATCGTCATAGGTCACATATCTATAGCCAACATCTTTATTATAGGCAAATTAAACATATGGGGTCCAAACCTATAAGTTGTTTCACCCAGAGATATACTCCATTATATCAGTGGACGTATATCCAATTCATCATTATTCTGCTTGTTTGGGGGATCAAGGCCCTGGATCTGTAACAGTTGATTATTATAATGAGTTCACTAATGAGTTTACTCATTTGTTAGCACTTCCTGAATAGAAGTCCTCTGCTGGCAACTGGCTGGTTGCAGCTGATTTTCTTACAAATAGAAGAATTCTTGTAACATATGGGTAACAAAGTTTTTTTTTTAAAAAGTGCTTGATATTGGTCCGTAAGAACAACATGTACATGTTAGCTTGAGACCAAACACTTTGCCGTGGTAGACAGCCTGCGCCTTGTGTTTATTGGTGCACTGGTAGTTTGCTTGAGGATAAAATAAATCATCTCAGTTTACGGAAGAGAATGTCATCTTCATAGAGAAAGTAATTTACAGTTTCACAGTCACAACACATGCTCCAGCTCTTCCTAAGCACAACGGTGCAACCTGTAAGAAAAAAAACCCCACATCTGTGAGAAAAATACAGTCAGCTTTAAGTACTTTTTTTTCCCTAAAATTGAGTACTTAGTTAATGCCTGTAGTAATAGTTGTACAGCTGCAGCAGAGTGGCAATATCACCCACACTCTGTTAATGTGTCTTAAAGAAAATAAAAAAATTTGTTCAAAACTTGGATAAAAACCTACAGAAAACATGAAGATATTTTATATGATGGTGTGAAGCACTTTGAAATCAATAGCAAACCCCACATATATGGAACAATTCTTATTGATAATTTACTTACTTGGTATTACAGGAAAAATAATCCTTCATTATGGTATGAACTGGATACCTGAGCTGGACAGTCTGACAACTGAGCAATGGATGGCAAAACAATGCATTTTTCTCTCAAACAGAAAACACCACACATGACAGGGGCAACCTCTCCTTTTTACTTGAATATTTGATAAAATCCTGTTAAGAGTTATTGAAATCAGAATAATATCCCAGTCTCTATTCTTTTTTTGTAAACAGAAGTTACTTCTGGTGAGACCCTCTCCTGATGAGATTCTGTTGGACTTGAAAAGAGGAAGGTAGTTTCTAACACCTTAGCTTCCTCTTTTAAACTTCATAGTATTGGAGCATGTATGAATAGCACACTAAGTGCTACAGAGGTTATCCTGAAGAAAAAGGGTGTTTATGCCAACTCCCCTATTTATTTTTTTTCCCCAGAACAACACACTTATCCTGAGCTGCTTGTGGCTCCAACAAACTTCAGTTAAGAAAACTGCACTATCCTCTCTTGAGTTATGTGTTGATGAAGTGGTGGCAGACTGCTGATGTAACAAGAGAGAAGGAAGGTACACAGACGCTTCTAAATCCCTCTAGGAAGGGTTCAAAACTGTCCTATATACTGGGACAACAGGATTCAGTGAGACATAGGGGGCTAAGGTTTAAGATACAAAGGTACACACAGATCGTCACCACCTAGACATCACAGGAGAGACATTAAATGCAATGGTGAGAAGCATTGTTTCTCTCCTCTGGTACACTTTTTTTTTTTTGCTTTAGCAGGACAAATAATGCCATGGGTTATCTTTACCAGTATTACCACTGAAGGCCCCAAGCTCTGATGAGCTTCTAGATGACTTATGTTTTAAGATCTTACAGCAGTATGAAGTGGGGGGAAATGGACAGCTCAGTTTTCTGTGTTACAAAGATTTTGACAGAGAGCAGTTCAGTTCTTTTTTAATTAGCAATTTGGGGCTATCACTGACATATGCAGGAGGTCAGAATTCAGCTGCCTAAATATTGGTGTCTAATGCTATTCTAGGTGACCTTGGACATTCATCCTGGGCTGCAGCTGGACTCCAGAAGGGCTTTGGTCTCCCATAGATTCTGTGCTGTATCTGCCAGCCTTCTGTGGAGGCAGATGCTTTACGATATCTGAAATGGCAGCAGATACCAAAGGACCCTGCCCAGGATGTCCTTGTGTGTGCTTTTCCCACAGAGAGGCACATTCCTGGAGCTATAACTAAGTAGAAGTAACCAAGACTTGGCCTGACAGTAAGTAATGGTTTCTGATCATGAACTGAAGGTGGCTTCATTTTTATTTTTTTTTTGTTTGAGCTAGGTGAAGAGAAATGGGAAAAGACTTCCTGAAAGTTGCACACAATGTACATAGCATTCACATCAGGAAGGGATTATTTATGAAAAGATGACTAAAACCTTGAATAAATTGCTAACCTTGCTGAGAGACACAGAGCTAAAACTAATCTACGTTTATCATTTATCTTCAGAATAGGAAGTCATGTAAACAGAACCCTTTATGACAGTTTGGGGAACATGTCAATCCATTTTATTAACAGTAGTTGAAATTGTCAAAGAAAATAGCTGTAGTCTTACCAAAGAAGCAAGGGCAGTTTATTAGAAGTTAACAACTGTGTGTTCAAGATAAATCATCTCAAGATGGTAGACAAAGAAAAAAGAGAGACATATAACAGACTAGTAAGAAAGTGCCTCTTAGAGAAGGAATATTTGAATTCTCTGTGTAAAAAGAGGCACACTTGCAATAACAACAAGATAAACAGTAGTGTATAGTCTGATCAGAATCTATACCTGTGTCCATTCATTTGTCTGGGGATCATAAGACTCCACTGTGTTAAGGTATGTTTGACCATCATATCCTCCAACAGCGTACAACTTGTCACCAAGAAGACATACTCCCACTGCATCTCTGCTAATGCTCATAGAGGCCACAGCAGTCCACATATCTGTTTTTGGATCATACCTAAAAGATAACTTGTGTTATGTTCTAAACCTGTTGCCAAAATTCAATAGAAAAAACATACTGGAATTGATGCTCTCGAGATAGTAGAAAACAGGTATTATTAGGACAGTACAGATTTGGATATTAATTTCAAAGGACTTTTTACCACCCAAATACTCTCTTTGAAAATGTTTCTTTAGTCATCTGGTAACAGTCAGTACTAGCTATGGATCTACTTTGCGCAGCTTTCCATATAGTAATACATACATATACATACAGCTGTTCATACTACATTTTTTTTATATGTCTAAATGTACCACTCCAGAAACAGTTCTGGTGCTACACTATAGTAGAAGAAGTGCTTGCTCTAAGTGATTACTACATGTCAAAGCACAAGCTGTTGAAGTTGAGTGTGGTACTAAATGAGTTACTTGCCATGGAAGACTACCAATTTCAAAAACAAACAAACAAACAAACAAACAAAACCAAACCAAAAAACAGTTTGAGAAAATATTGGGGAAAATGCAAAACCCTTAAGAGAATTTACAGCTCCAAATCATATCATAGCTCCATATCATCAGAGGCATTAGCACAGTAAAAGACAGATGGTTTAATGAAAATCATTAAATGTCATTCTAGAATAATATCAACATTCTTTACAAGTTAAACTGAGAACTACATAGGAGAGTTCATGCTATTCTTATGTCAAGGAATATATTTTAACCTGACTGAAAGAAACAATGTTAAAATTACAGTTGTTTACAGAGAACTGATGTAATCACACAGCTCTGAAGCCTCTGAAGAACTATACAAAGAAAATACTTACTTGGCTAAGAGAACATCCTGAGATGACACTGGCTAAAAGCAAGCTTGGAAGATACTAGTCTTAATTTGTTTGCATGAATAACATAGATGTAATGAGTTCTAACAATTCTATCTGTAGTTCTCAAGACTACAGATATGCATGCAAGCATAATCATAACATGCTAGTACTGCCTGAAGCACATGCTGCAAATAGAAGTGTAATGCTGTGAAAGAGGGTGATTAGTGAGCTACATATAAAATGTACTTTTCAATTTATTTTATAATTTATTTATAAACCAATGTATTTACCTGGGAAAAGCAACTTTTATTGCAAAATACAGTGGTAAACAAATACTCAGAAGCTTACTGTGGTTTCATGAAACTGGTAATTTTTTAAAGGAACCACTTCCATGTAGTTGATGGTCCTCAATTATATCTCACTTAAAGAGCGAGGACAAAATGCATTACAAAAGGATTCCTATTTATTAAAGTCATGTATTCTGTAACTTTGTTTTAGAGAATATTGATGCAGAAAAATACACGGACCTATTACTTTCTCTTGGGCTTCTAATTATCTTTATTCCTCTAAAAATTTGGTATTTGCTGAGATGGAGCTTCCTATCTGGAAACCTTACTGCGGTCTTTTTTAGTGCAGCTTCCATATATGCAGTGTTATGGGCCAAACTATGTATTTTGGGGTCTATTAGGACACAAAGTTTGAAAACTACAGCTCTGTTTTGTGGTGGGGTTTTTTTTTGTTTGTTTTGGGTTTTTCTTTTTTCTTTTTTTCCTTTTTTTTTTGGTAGATGGTGAATCAGATCTCCCAGCATGAACAAATTTAGTAAAAGGAGACAATGGGTGATGAAGAATCACATTAAGTGTTGGGAGATAACAGGAAAGAAGAGACGTTATACCATTTTGGGGAAAAAAAAAAAGATAATAAAGCATATTTAAAGAATACTTGAAATGCCAGTGAAGACTTAATGCAGTACATTATTATTTACTGACATTTTTAGTTGTTTTATGGATCACACATGCTTCTGCAATTTGTAATACAGTAATTTATTAATAAACTTATGTAAAGACATACCAACTTTGGAATGACTGAATTACATGCCAGTTTCCCAGTGTCATCAGGGATATAAGAAAGAACAGGATATTTAAGGATTCACAAACCCTGACTGTTAACTCCTTTAAAAGTTACAGTACAAACTGATACAGTGAAAGAAGTTTTGCTCCATTTTTAAGAGCATTCAATTTCAAGTTGTTCTCACTAATTACTCATAATTCATTGAATAAGATTGTTAGGAAAAAACCCAACTTTCTCAATGAAGTACATTAGGGAGAATTTGCTTTAAATAATCTGTCTTGGCAACATTTTGAATCATATTATGACTACACGTATGTTTTTTATACGTCTCCTTGCTCATGCTAAAAATAACATGGCTATTTTATTTGCTTTCTACTTACATGTCTTTCCATAAATCTCTTTACAGACGAGCACTGTTTAGAATTATTAGCAAGATAGGCCTTCATCAGGATATTACCTTTCTACACAGTCTGACAGCCTGGATGTTAAGTTTGATGCAGGGGCATCGTGACCACCTATTGCATACAAGAACCCATTCCAGGTGGTTACACCTACACCACCTCTTCTTTTTGACATCTGAGCACAGAGGGTCCATTTGTTTGTATGAGGATCAAAACATTCTACTGACTTAAGACAAGAACTTCCATCTCGACCACCAACTGCATAAAGCCTACAAAGTAAAAAAAAAATAAAATAAAAGTTTGTTCAAAAAGGAAGTTTAGAAGGAGACTTTCAACTTTCAATAGAATGTTCTGTTGCAAAAACTCAAGAGATTTTGCTCCAACCTTTTCCTATTGTCATGATCAACACACAATAACAGTAATTTACAGAAAATTTATTATAACACACCATTTATGTTCCAACCTATGCACATAGCTAACATTTTCGAAATTACTTAGGTGACTTGACAGCCAAAGGCCCATTTCTAGCAGGGTCTGAATGACAAATTCAGTGATGGATCTGTGTGTGCAATGCCTCTGCCCTGCCTCATCTTAGGCATTCAAGTATTCTTCTGGACCTGGGCTTTAGTTTATGAATGACAGTGCTACATTAAGTTCCTCACACCCACTAGATGGCCTGCTTTGCTCAGTTCTATCAAAAAGGTTTCTAGCATTTAATATTAACAAAGGATTTCAACTTTTTGGAAAGGTTAGAAGGAAAAGATTCGTTTTAAGAGCACTCCATCACTGACGAATCTTTAATAAAATAATCAAACTTTATAAAGAGTTTATGCACAGAGTTTATGAGCAATCTATGCTTAGAAGCAGAAATACCCAGCACTATTATTTGGAAAGGCAGGAACTCGGAAGCCATTCTAAAAACGAAGCAATGCATCAGAAGTAAAGTCCAATTTGAGAGATCACCTGAAATATCATTAATGAAATTCTTTCATAGCCTAAGGCACGTCATAGTATGGTTAAATAATCAAATAAATATTAGATGCTGTACATGATGATAGTGTAAACAATTTACAACAGTCACTATGAAGCACTATTCAAGAAGTCCTCAGTTCGGGAAACACTTTTTTAAAATATACTGACCAACAAACTTAAATACAAACATCTTGTAAATATGGTTGACCTAGAAGTTCTCAGTAATAAATTTTAATACCCTTTTAAAAAAATTAATTTCTGCTGAAGTTCCCATATTTAATAACACAACTTGTTTAAGGTAAGGAAGGTACTGAAGGATACTGAAAAATCCTGTTGGAGTTCCAAAAGTGCAGGACTAAAAATCAATCCTTTATGCAACATAGCATTTAAATGAAGCCCCCCCATCTTAATTCCCCCCAAAACATGACAGAGTTTTGATCACTTATGCAGTGATTTCACATTTTGGACAGGGAGAAAGATGTATTCTCTTCTCTATATGAAGATTTTGAGCACATAATCTGAAATATATCAAGTTATAGATATATATTACTAGAAAGTGCAGAAGTTACTGCTCCCTCAGTTGAAATGCCATAAATTTGCATGCACATTTGAATAGGCACTTAATGTTGCTGCCTACATTAATAGTCTAGGCTATGTTCTACAACAGAGAAACATAAGGCTCCAATTCTGGTGCTTTTCCCCACACCCGGGACCCTCTACTGAATATATGGGAAGCTTCAGACCTAACTTAGGCATCTGAGACTGCAGTTCCAAGGCAGCCCAAGGCACTGCTTGCTGGTTGATCAAGTTCTTCCGTCCTTCCTGCACCCAGTGAGCATTTCCACTCATTCCTGGACTTGTTCCAGGTCTCACAGGACCACTTGGAGGTGCATTTCGGCTGTACTAATTTAGCAGGAGACTAACCTACCAAAATTCCAACAACAACAACAACAAAAGGCTCAAGGGAGATGCATCAGATAGTAGATAAGCAGGAAGTGAAAATTTGTGGTCAAGAGAGCACAGGTATTCTGCCACAGCCACACACTACTCAACAAATCAGGTTAGCTTTGTCTACTATGGTATTCTGGTAGCCACCCTGGCAAAATATTGTTTGGATAAGCCCACTACAAGGCTGGTGGAAAACTGGAAGGACTACTGGGCTCAAATGGCTGTGATCAGCAGTATGAAGTCCAGTGGGCAGCTGGTTACTAGTGCTGTTCCTCTCCCAGGCTGATACTGTGGCTGATATTGCTCAATGTCTTCATTAATTATCTGAAAGATCTAACGGAAATGAGCTTTAGCAAGTTTACTGATAATATCAAATTAAGGGGAGCTGCTGGTATGCTAGAGGGCTTGGTTACTATTCAGAGAGACCTAGACAAGCTGGAAAAATGGGCTGACTAGTCTCATGAAGTTCAGGAAATGCAAATGTGAAGTCCTGTACCTGGGATGGCTTATTCCCATGCCATAGTACAGGCTGCAACCTGATAGGAGAGGAGGCAGCTTAGCAAAAATAGATTTGGAAGTCCTGGCAGACAACAAGTCTTGAAGTAATGATCCCCTTTATCCAGTATGTGTAAGACTGCTTCTGGATACTGTGTCCAGCTTTGGGCTCTCAGTACAAGAAAGATCTTGCCATACTGGAGCGAGTCCAGCTGATGGTCACTAAGATGATAAGGGGACTAGAACACAGGACATATGAGAAGAGGCTGAAAGCACCATTGTGCAGGCTTTTGAATTCTTGAGACAGCTTAGGAGGCATCTTACTGCTGTCTTCAGCCACCTAATGGGAAGTATGAAGAAGACAGATCATTCTCAGAGGTATGCAGTGAAAGGAGGAAGAAGAGACAAGTTGAAACATGGGAAATTTCAATTGTATATTAGAAGAAAAATGTTAAGTACAACGGTGGTCAAACATCAGAACAGGCTGCCCAGAGAGGCTGCTGAATCTCCACCCTTGGAGATATTCAAAACTCAAGATATGACCTGAGCTACTTCAGTTAACTTTGAAACTAGATTCAACGTTAAGGTTGGCCTGGCTTTGAATTGGTGTTGGATCAGATGACTCCAGAGGTCCCTTCCAATCCAAATTATTCTGATTCTGTATTCCAGCTGATCTTTATTTTTGTAATAGCTTGATTCAAGTACCTATTTTGGGATGCCATAGAACAATTACCCTTAGTCCAAAGGAAAACAATGAAACTCCCTCTAAGTGTAGGAATCATGGCCTACAAATAAAGATTGAAGGAGCTGGAGTTATTCAGTCCTGGTGACAGAATACTGAGGGGAAATGTGTCTTTAAATACAAAAGGCTGTTGCAAATGGGAAAGAAGAGATGCATTTTCCATGTTCACTTTGGATACTACAAACAACAATAATATAAATCAGCAAAAGGTATTTAAGACTTGACATGAGAAGTTCACAATGTATTAATAGTTAAGCAGATTGCTTAGGGATGTTACGGAAACTTTGCCACTGGAGGTTTAAGAATAAGATCACTCTGGCTATGAGTGTTTCAGATATAATTGATTCAACTTTAGGGTTGCAGAATGGATTAGGGAACTCCTTAAGGTCATTGCCAGACATTTCCTGTGACTGCAACATAAAAGGACCTAGTTGTCTGAATATGCTTTGTATTAGGAATTAGGCATATTTTCACTGAAAAACAGCTGTAGAAATTTCAGATACCACTCCAGATTAGATTCATTCTGCTAGAGCTCACTGTTCTGAGTTAATGCAATATCACATGAGTACTCCACAACTTCACAGTAATTTTTGAAAGCTGAATCCTCAAGCTATCACAGTAAGAGGAAATCACTGGAGTCTCAGTGAAAAAGAACCACCATTGCGCTCCTTTCCATATTAAGGAGATGGTAACTACTTGCTTCCCCATATAGATGGTGTCTCGTAAGTGATCCTGAGGGGCACTGTGATGCTGTTGGGAAGCTTGCTTGACCCAACACACTATCTTTTCTGTGCATGAAGAAACTTGGTTCTTAATACTATCAACAGGTTATCTATCAAGAGAAATAATAATCATTTAGGATGGTCCTCTAATTACATTAAAATAATGAGAAAACGAAGTTGCCTTCACATACTTTCCATTTAATATTGCTACACCAACAGTGCTCCTTGGAGTTGACATACTAGCTACAAAGTTCCACTGACGAGCCTGTGGATCCCATCTTTCTACTGTATTCAGGTAGCTCCAGCCATCATGTCCTCCTACAGCATACATGGGACCTTCCAACACAGCTACTCCTAAAAAAACAGACATGAAAAACAATTGCTTCTGGATAAGGGGAAAAAGATCACATATTCCTAGTGACGGCCCAGGGTGCACCAAATAACATTTAAAAACAACAAAAAAAATTTCCTTCTGGTAGCCAATACTGGATATTATCTGAAGGAGCAAAGATGTTCAATAAGCAGTTGTCATTCAAACAAAGTTTCCATGCCCCTAAACTTAATTTCTGAATGTTTTTTGACCAATCCTAAAACAGATAACCTTTTAAAAATACGCATTCAGCCTTTACAGAACTCTACATACCAAGACCATGGCGATGAGTGGACATAGGTGGCATTACACTCCAAGTTTTCGTTCTAGGGTTGTAGCACTCCACAGTATTCAGTGTTTTCAGTCCATCTCTGCCACCAACAACATACAATTTATCATCTAAGACTGCAACTCCAAACTGTAATCTTCGTCCATTCATGTTTGCAACAGGAGTCCACATGTTGGTACGAAGTTCATACTTTTCAATGCTTGTAGCTCCTGAACGACAACATATGCATTTTTTTTTAAAAAAGGTCTTAATAATTAAGGTAGCTTTTTTATTTTAGAAATATGCTGATCCTACAAGACAGCATGATATCCTGCAGGATGTTCTTAATTCTATGTATACAAAGTCTTTTTTGACTTCCTGAGGAATTAACTGCACCATTACAGAATCATAGAATGGCCTGGGTTGAAAAGGACCTTAAAGATCATCTAATTAGGTTTCAAACCCCCTGCTGTGGGCAGGGTTGCCAACCACTAGAGCAGGCTGCCCAGGGCCCCACCCAACCCGGTCTTGAATGTCTCCAGGGATGGGGCATCCACAACTTCTCTGGGCAACCTGTTCCAGTGCCTCACCACCCTCTGAGTGAAAAATTCCGTCCTAATACCTAACCTAAATCTCCCCCCCTCTTAGTTTAAAACCATTCCCCCTCCTCCTGTCACTGTCAACCCCTGTAAACAGTCGGTCCCCCTCCTGAAAGACGAACTTTCTCAGTGCTTTTCAAGACAAAAAAGCAGGATTTCTAACTGCTTTTCAGAGTCAAGCCTTTAGAAAGACAAATAAAACAACCTGTGTGACATGCAATTATATATTGAAATCAACTGTTTTGTAATATTAGAAAAAAATATGAAGCAATGTGACACGAAGTGCTAAAAGTGATAACTTTAAAACAATGAATGAAAGACAACACTTTCCCCTAACTTTTCTAAGTTGCCATATTGCTTTTAACTAACTAACCATTCAACAGTATGGAAGTGTCTATAAAAAGGAAAATCCAAGTAGGTCTGACAGAAACACTTAACAATTAGCCAAAAGCGTATTTTTGTTTTTATGCATGTGCAGGTCACCTTTGTGCCCTTTCTGTAATTTTTCTTCCTTTTCCATATTACTTCCCACTGAAGTCATTAGATTTTTTTTTCACTCAATTCAACATTTCACTACTCAGAAATCAGATATTCCCTTAATACTTTCCAATCAATCATAAGTCTAACTTCCAGAATGTTTACAGTGTTATCAAAGCTACATTTTTTTTAACCTAATGAACGCTGTGCATTTAAGACATCTCATGTTCTATACTGCAAATCTTTGAATTTTAGAATCAAAGTGTTATAAAAATATCTATCAAGCATTTCTTTTAAAAAGAACCAAAACAGCTCATCAACTAATCCTTATATAAACCAATACCTTTTGTTGCATCCATTCCTCCAACTGCAAACAACACGCCCACTGTAGATTTTCTAGGCTTGGTGCGAGGACTTTGCAACATAGGTCGTCTCTCTGGCAACAGATGGTATTTCATTGCTTCCATAATAAGTTTTTGACATTCAATGTCATCCCTAAAGAGTGCATTATTTTCCATATCTGCCAGAAACTGTGAAAAAGAAAGAAATTAAACAAGCTGTATTGCCATAAATGACATGAAGATTAAAAAACAAGATTACAAGAAAACATTTTATCCAAAGACTTCCTCTGTGTGATTTAAAAACTATGCCTTTTCAAAATGGTCATATAAAAAAAAAGACTAGGGTAAACCTGTAATAAACAAAACATTCACATTTTAAGCTAAGCCATTAAGTACAAAAAAAGAGCCATTAAGTACAAAAAAAGGAAGACCATCTGATCTTAATGGACGATTTAAGCGTAATGGTCCCAAGGAAGAAAAAATCTCCTCATGTTCCAGGGCCACTACAGGTATGTTCAAGGAAATGGAATCAGACTCCGGGTATGTTAAGTCAGTTTAACCTCATGCTCTTACTCCCGAAAAAAATCCAAACACTTTGTGAATACTAGAAATACAAGTCCACAAACCACACTGAGAAGCCATTGTTGAGCTGTTGACAGCCAACTGATAACAAGTACAAAATTGCCGTGAAATTAGTAATCAGGAGTGCTAAAGAGACTTGTTACGAAATAGCTGTATATATAATATGGTATGCATATCCCTGGCTTAAAGCTGCTTTAGGACCGCAAAGTGTCAAATAGGACATCTATGGTTCCAGAAGAGATACAGATAAGTACAGAATGCTAAGCCTTAACACCTCTGTGTCAGGCAAATCAACAGAAATTATGACAGAAAACATAATTAACATGCAGAGAGAATTAAAAAAAAAAAAAAAAAAAGAAAAAAAAAGCTTCCAAAGCCCTTCACCAGTGGCTTTTTAGGAAACTCAGTGTGACTTTTGCAGTATTTCTCTAACTAATGTTCTGATTCTATTTTAAATAGCAAATTAAAATGTTCTCATGTAAATTAGCATAGGGAACTTAATTTTAATTTTTAGTTTCAGTACTTCCCATTGTTTTTTCTCTTGACCCAAAGAACCACTTACCACTTGTATCACTTCACAGGGACACTTTGTGATTATAAAATAGTAAACTAAAAGCCATCTTTTAACTGCCTGCGTGCAATGCTATTAAATTTCACATGGTTTAAAAAAAAAAAAAAAAGGCAAACCAACAGTGAATTACTTCTGTCCTAAACTGGACCTTGTCATAGTCGCATGCACGAAGACTAAGGCTTGTAGACAACGTGAGCAATTCAGACCTCCAATATATTTTTCTGATAGACAAGCAGCATTTAATATTTAAAGCAATACTGTGTGTATATATGAGTCTTGCAACAACAGGATGCAACCTACCTTTTTACAGTTTCTCACCCACCCTATAGAGAAGTTTTCTCATAGGACTGAGTCTCAATCTCTGAAAGCAACTTAATCTCAGTTAAAAAGAAATGCAAGCTAAGATTGTTTTGGTACCCAAAAAACACCTACTGTATTACAATTTTCTGGAAATATTCTTCAAAGAACTTGGAATGGGCTTACTTAATTGAAAATAAATTTTTTCATAGTTTTATTATTTACATAGCTTATTGTACTAAAAGTATTTATAACTGAGAAACTACAAATGATGTGTTTACACGAAATTATTGTAACTGAAAACCTAATGAAGAAAAAGGCAGTGCTCATACTGAAGTACTAGGAATTTCTGTCTAACAGGAAGGTGAACCCACCTTGTAACTCAGAAATGGCTTCATCATCTTTTTAATTAATTTATCAGAGATGGAATACTTGCTACCTCACAGCTTAAGAAGCTGACAAACATTCACTCTTTAGCCTTCGTAAGAGCAAAAAGAGACTTAAAAATATTTAGGACACTGCTTTCATTAACCAAAGAGATGACAGAATGCTATGTGCAAAGAGATGCATGAAAACCCAAACGACAAAACTGACAATTCATTATGATTTTTTTGCTTCCAGTGCTACAGTTTCACAGTATTTCCCAAAGTTTTTCTTTAAAGTGTATGAATCTAATATTCTTTGCATCTCTGCTTGCAATGTTATTGATTTCAGCAAGTTGTTCAATTTTCTAATTTCATTTCTTTCAAATAGCTTTAACCCTTCAACCATAAAATTGGAAACCTTTTCATTATGTTTGCTGTCAGATTGCCCAGTGTCATGTGATCCCAAAGCAAAACATGATCTGAAAATGTTAAGACTGTTTTGGGCACCTCAATTTAGTCAATGCACTAATTGCTGCCATATTAAATTCACAGCTTTACCTCTTTAATTTATAAAAGAAAGTAATAAATAAAAAGGTAACAGAAAAATATTGTATTAGAAATATAAGTATGTATTTTGAGAAGACATGAAAAATTAAAGATAAAATAATAAATTTAATATGATTTTGCTTTTGTGTTTCATTCTGCTATTTTCCTAATCAGTTACTGACTGGATATAATTTGATTTCATAGAATCACAGAATGGTTAGGGTTGGAAATTAAGTTAGAGATCATCGAGTTCCAACAGGGATACCTCCTCCTAGACCAGGTTGCTCAAAGCCTCATCCAGCCTGGCCTTGAACACCTCCAAAAATGGGAGTACATTTCAGTACATATTTCTGGGATAAATTCTGTACTTTCAGTTTCTGAAGATGTTTCAATTACAGTGAATTAAGTAAAAGGAATCAAGAGTGGTTACTTAGTTATCAATTAATTAAATGCTCAACAAAAGAACGACTTCCTCCAAGTCAACTTGCTTACACTGTATTATGTTTCTAGAAAAAGCAAATTACAAAGTCAAGGCCACAACTGAGAAAATTCTGCCACTGCGTATATAATAATTGGTATGGAAATATTAATACTAAAATGCTTACTAGTGAATCTTACTATCCAGCAAGAGGATACCAGATTAGAGGCAATACAGAGAATATTGTGTATGTTATTTATCACTATGAATGAACTGAAGTCAGTTTTTGTTGTGTTAATCAATTCTACTTATTACTCAGGTTCAAAAATACCCTGTTTTCTTTATTTAATAGAGATAATTATCACTAAACAAACTGAAAACTGTAAATCCTTTGACTGTTGTAGTAAGCGTTAGATATTACTAATGAAGGTCCAGCAGGGAAGGCTACCACAAGGGGGGGGTGGGGGGTGGAGTTCAAGTCTAGTTCACATGCATGCTATCAGACAATGAATACAATGCTACACATGACACTAACATGACTAGTCATTCCTACAGGACTACAAAAACTGTAATTCACAACTATGTAAACAAACTGAGCTCAAGTTTTCCTCAGCAAGGCATGTAAATGTCCAAGAAGGAGAAAAAGTTGTCTGGGAAGAACAAAAAGTACCTAAAGATGGTTTATCAAGAATTAATGTAAAAAAATCACTCAAAATAATTTATTCAAATTGTATTTCCTAAATCTCAAGGATATCTATATTTGAAGGAAATGCAATGATCCAAATAAACTGCGTAAGTTCCATAAAGAAAAAAATTTAAAAGGACACACCTTCTAGTGACAAACATATCCTTGATAAGCATTTTTCTAGGCAACAGAAGCGATTTTTTCCTAGCAGCTCCAGCCCTTCTTGTGTCCTGATTGCTCTCAGGTTAGGATCAGAATATGCTGCAGTTCACAAACAGACACAAACTGTCATGCCTATACAACATGCTACGTCCTCATATGCTGCTCTAAGAATCCAAATCATTAAGAATCCCAAAGCTTTTACGATTTGTCACTATCAATATATCTATGCTGTAGATCTTATGCCCACTATAACCATGGTATAAACTAGAGAGGAAATGAACAATTTACTTGTGGAGCAAGTAGAGGCAGTCTAATGTAAGCCAGGAGTTTACTAAGATCTTTCCTTCTCTGTTCCAAATCATGTCGAACCCATGTAAGTAGTGCATTCAGTATGGTTTCCTCATTAGGAATATTCATGTCATCACTTGCTAAAAGCTTTGCAATTTCAGTGGCTGGCAATAATAGAAATTCTTGGTTTCTAATTACTTCCATGAAGTTTTCCTGAAAAAGAAAAAGAGAAGTATTTTTAATACAAGTGGCATCAAACTTCGAAGACTTCTTTTATGGAACTCCTACTATATCTTCTTCTTCCCCCCCCCCCCCCCCCTCCTAC